TGACATACACACCTTATTTGGTATGAAAACGGCGCCAAAGAAGTGGACGATATTATCACACCTAAATTTATCAAGCATTGACACTTCATTTTCAAATTCATCCATCGACTTATTATCATTTAAAACACTTTTCATCTTTTTTATAGCAACAACATTTCCTCTAAAACTTCCTTTGTAAACAATACCACACGATCCTTCACCAAGTTTTTTGTCTTCGATCAATTCTTCGCAATCAATTCGAGTAGTCTGTTGTGTCACACCAAAAAGTGAGATTTTGTTATATTTCTCTTCATTTGTTTTAAGATTTTTCGAAACCAATTGAATTGTGCTGTTGATTTTACAAGAACACAATGGCTTGACATATACAGAGAACTCACATGCATAGCCGCTTTTAATTGTGACAACTTCTGGATCAACACGAATTGTAAATTTTGTGATGTTCGATGAAATTGTGAATTGTAATTTGGTGGTGTTTTTGTTTGTGTTACCGACACACAAGACCTGCCGGGTCTCTTTGTTAACTTCAATTTGCTCGATGTCTGAATTCAAGTCAATTACATTTGATGAAACACAGACACCACCTTGGAGAGGGACAAAGTTAATGTTCGATTTGTTCATTGCAAAGAGTGTTGTTGTCTTCTCGATTTTGTGTATGTGGAGTTTCTTTAGAATGTTTTTGGTTACAATGACAAGTGATACAATCAATATAATAAACACAATAAGTACACACATTACTGCAACAAAAATGACCCACCAAACTATTTGTGATTCACACGATGTGCCATCTTTACTTGGTTTATACCAAAAAGAACACTTTGAACATTTTGACTTTGTGATTTCTTTGCATTTGAATATTCGTGAGAGACCAACACAACTTCCATTGGTAAGTAACACAAGTGAATTATTACATGAAGTACATTTGTTGCTTGATAATGTACATGTATTACAGTTGTTATTGCATTCTTGACACTCATTTGTATTGATTATATAATACCCATCTTGACACTTTGAACACCCACTTTGTGTCACATTCACAGCACACCCGATGATATCATTCTGTGGTAAACAGTCACCACTATTTGTTTTGTAATTCGTTAAATTGCAGGTAAGACAACTGTATTTATTGTTACATGTTTTACATTTTTGATCACATCCAAAACAATCAAGTCCTATTCTATAATACCCATCTTTACACGCAACACAGCCACTTCCAAAACTTGCAAACTGGTCACACGTAAGTTCTAAATTTTTATTTGTGTTACATTTGTAATTTGACAAAAACGTGTTATGTGGACAACTCAGACATTTGGTTGATGTATCAAAACACGTCAAACAACTTGAGTCACAACCTTCACATTGTTTTGTTGACTTTTCAAAATAAAAAGTGTCTTGACATTTCATACACCCAAAACTGTTTTGTAAAATACAATTTGGTTCTCTGTATTTTTTGCATATATTATTGGATAAAGTATATTCACTTTCACATTCGTTACATTTTCCATTAGATATATATATATACAATAATTAATTC